TAGCAATAGCAATAGCAATAGTTAGGCTTATATACCGCTTCATAGGGCTTTCAGCCCTCTCTAAGCGGTTTACAGAGTCAGCATATTGCCCCCAACAACAATCTGGGTCCTCATTTTACCCACCTCGGAAGGATGGAAGGCTGAGTCAACCCTGAGCCGGTGAGATTTGAACAGCCGAACTGCAGAACTGCAGTCAGCTGAAGTAGCCTGCAGTGCTGCATTTAACCACTGCGCCACCTCGGCTCTTATGAGTGAGTGGTTTATTAAAATAATTAATCCCACAGATTATTATCCCTTCTTCCTCTTTTATCTGGCGATGAAAGATACAACAAAGAGCCTGAAAACAATATCAAGCATTATGAGCAGCTAGGCATCAAAGCCAAAGAGTGAGGACCATAAATGATGTTTTCATCTGTTCTTCCAATGGAAAGTCAACATCCAATAAGAGAATGGAGAATTTAGAAGTAAACCTATGTCTTAATGGGTGCTGCTATTGATAAAACTTTGGAATCCTAGACTATGGTCTACATTACCTACACTATATTGCCAAAAGTATTCGCTCACAGCTGCTTCTGATTATTAGGTGAGCGAATACTTCTGGCAATATAGTGTATATGATGGCCTTCTGGCAGGATATAAGGTACACCTCACAAGAATTAGGATAAATGTGCGTGGAAATAACTGGCTTAGTTTATTTGAAACAATTTAAGCTAAAACTGGAAAAGAAGGAAAACCAATTTTTAAGATCCTGTTCCAAGATATTGTAAACAATGAAATAAAGAGTGCTGGGAAAGAAGAGGAACCCAAATATATATAAAAAAGGAAATGTAGAAAGGATACACAAGGTCAGTCAAAAGGATTTAGATTTCTATATACTAATGCTAAAAGTATGAGGAACAAACAGGGAAAACTAGAAGTCCTCCTTCATTACAGTAATTACTGAGACTTGGTGGGATACAACCCATGACTAGAACCTAGTATTAGAAGAATTTAAATTGTCCAAAAGAAACAGACTTAACAAAACAGGAGGGTGAGTTGCATATGTAAGAATTAATTAGACTTCTAGAATTGCAAAAAACCAAGGATAAAAATCTTGAATGCATTTGAGTTAAGATAAAAGGAAAAAGGAATGGCATTATCATAGCTATATGCTACAGGAGCTCAACCAAAAAGAGGAAATAGATCAACTTTTTACTAATCATTTAGCTAAGACGCACCACAGTAAGTAATGGGGGACTAACTATTCTGATATCAACTGGGAGACAAACTGCATCAAGTGGGAGATGCTGCAACCCTGATAGTTTTTAAGAAGAGATTGGATAGTGATTTGTCTAACATAGTGTAGGGTCTTCTACTTGAGCAGGGGGTTGAACTAGAAGACCTCTAAAGTCCCTCCCAACTCTGTTATTTTTTCTGAATAAACATCTTTCAGAAAGTTCAAAGCTTAGAAAATAATATTTACTAACTATATTAGGAAAAAACTGAACAAATATTTGTATGGCTGCTTTAGATTCAGATTTTTGAGTACAGATTCTCCATTTTAAACTGAGTCTAAAACTCCATTTGGTGGAATCCACCATAGTCTAGCATGCTTTTCAAATATCTTGACAATATGCTACTTATTGTCCATTCCTTTTATTATTCAAAACGCGAAACTATGAGTGCAAACTTCAAAATTCAATGACAGTGCAATTCAGTACCTCTCAAAAATAATGAGAGAAATCAAACAGAAACAGTAGGGAAATATTGTGAATCCTGTTAACTCTCATTGTCTTACATGACTTCATTAAACTGGGCCAAGATTATTTACATTAAGAAAAAATAAATTGTTATTATTATTTAATGGCACTTTACCAGATTCATCATGATCATGCTTCAAGTAAACAGGATCTATTTTAAAGGCACATGTTAAATCCGATCTCTTCTTCACCCTGCACCAATATTGAATATAGATGGTCACTGATTTATTTAAAAGTTTACCTATTTCTATTAAAACTAGAAATAGAGATATAAGTTTAAATCAATTCAGATTAATAAATGGAGAAGTATTAACTGGAGATTAAACTTTGATCTCATTAATTAATTAGAGTTGCTTTAGATAATTTCTAGGATCCTTTCCAGGTATACAGTTCTAAAAAATAAAAAGAATTAACTACAAAGATTAATAAATTCATCAGTGTTTAAGTCACGTAAATGTACAATCTCCTTATCGTATAAATATTGAATGTAACAAACCTAAATATGACATTACATATATCCTAACCATTAGTAAACACTTTGTAACATGTATTTTGCATGCTTTCCTTTAAAATTTCAAGTATATTCTGGGAATAGAGTAACACATCATATAGAATCTGGATTAACACAGTGAGTGGGGGATTTCTGCCAAAAATTGTAATTCTGTCTGCACAAGGCTTTCTTTATCATGAATGAGCCAGAATGAAATGCATACTATCTTATGTTCTCTTGATTCCTTATGCCAATGGAAACATATCAACAAATTGTGGAAATTCTTTTTCTGGATTGTGTTTTTTTTTAATCATAATGTGGGAACTAACCCTATGGCTTGCTTTTCTAGGAAGACTGAGTCTGAATACATGCAATTCCTTCTTAAGAAGAGGCAACTCAGAAGAGGCAAGAGGGATCTTGAACTACTTTGAATGATAAGCAGCTTGTTTTAAAATTTGTTGAGTCACTTTTGATCTAAGCAACCAAGCAGGAGCAATCAATTGGTAAAACCAGTAGAGTAAATTAGAGTAATGGTACATAGATACTCCATATAAGTCTGCCTACTATCATATTCCTTTAGAGAGAAATGTCATGTGATAACACTATTAATAATTCTTGCACTCCTTCTTACCACATAGTTGAACAATCAAAGTTGACCAGGAGCCACTTATGAGGATTAAAGTTGAATGAATCTGCATACTACCAAAGAAAGAAAACAGATCAACTATTATAGGATGACCTGAAATAGTTTCCAAAATGTCATTCTTTAAAATGCGATAAATATTGGTATGTTCAAAGACCTCTTTGAATTTCCAACTCAGCAAGGGTGTTGCTGTGGGAAAAATAGGTGGAGGAAGGATTACTAAGTATGTTCACCATCCTGAGTTATGCATAAAAATAATGAAGACTGTAGTAATTGTCTGCATTACCTACATAAAAGATGCATGTATTACTTACATGAATGGTCAGTATTATCTACATGGTCTGCACTACCTACATGAAGGACATCTAGCAAGGGATAAGCTGCACCTTACAAGAACCAGGAAGAATGTATTGGGAAAATGACTGACTCAATTTATTAAAAGGGCTTTAAATTAAAACTGGGGGGGGGGAGTGACCAACCCTTATGATATTTGGGACCTATTCACAAGCATAAACCTCAACACAACCAAACAATCAGGTAAGGGGTGATGGGAAGGAAGAAAAACTATAAAATAGGATATAAAATAGGACATATAGGAAACATACCCAAGGTCAGCTTTAAAGGACTCAAAATGCCTAATGTGCAAATGCTCAAAGTTTGGGGAAAAACAAGGTGAACATCAATTACTGTGGGCAAATATGATATAGTTGCCATTTACCAAAACTTACTGGGATGAAACTCATGACTTAAATGTACTGATGGAAGAATATAAACTATTCAAAAGAAACAGACCTTACAAAAGAGGAGGTAGAGTTGCATTATATGTAAAAAATCACTACCGGTATATATCTATAGAAATGCAGAAAAACAAGAATCAAAGCCTCCTAGAATGTATATGGGGCAATATAATATTTGAGGGCCTACTACAAAAAAGAGAGTCAATTTATTATCCAAAGCAATACAAGAAACAAGTGTTGGAAACCAGTCAAGGAGAGAAGCATCCCATAATTAAGGAGAAATTTCCTAACAGTGAGAAAACTAACCACTTCTGCCTTCAGAAGTGGTGGATGCTCCATCATTTAAGGCTTTTAAGAAGAAAATGGATAGCCACTTGTCTGAAGTGGCTTCCTAGGGGGTGAGAGGGTGACTAGCCCAAAATCATCCATATGGTCTTATGCCCAAGGCAGGATTAGAATCTCCTGGTTTATAGCCAGTGCCTTAACTGCTATACCTAATTGGCTTTTTTCACACAATTAATAAAGATTATTCTTGGACTAATTTGACAAAATTACTTAATTTTATAGACCAAATATAACCACCAGCTAATGCTATGTGAATTGGCACACTGTCCTCACTTCATCCCAATGGTGTTAAGAATGGCAAAGGACCTAGAGATATGACCCAGCAACTCCTGTTGAAAGGAAAAGTTTGGAAATACTAGACTTTCCCTGCATCTTAAAGGTTTTTTGATCAGGTTACTGTGCGGTTATGTAAAACAAATGCTTTAACTTATTTGATAGGAATAGTGAGTAGATAGTAGAAGTAGGAATAGTGAGTAATAGTAGAAGTAGGAAATTTATTCACACTTATTGAATGGTTTCTACCCTGAAAAATGCTGTGTTACCCTGCAAGTGATGATTCATTTCCTTCCAAAGCCAATAAAACCTACCCAGGAAATTACGGTGGGCTTTGTTTGCTGATAAAATGAAAAGAAGAGATGCTTTACAGGTTAGCTTTCCCCCTCCTTTTTCTTTATTAGTCTGTAGCCAGTAGGCACTGACCTTCTCCAAATATTGTTTTTTCTTCTGTTGACATAGAATTTATCTGACAGCTGAAGAGAAGCCCAGGAAATTGCATTGCCTTTATCTAAGGAAGCACAGGGAAAGTAGCTAGGCATTATTGAAAAGGGGGAAGAATATAAAAGAAAAATATTACACATGAAATGTTAAACAAATTCTTCTCACCCATGCTCTGTTGTGAACTGAAGAAACAAAGCAAGAACTTTTCTACCTTGATTTTCAAATATGCAGGTAGGAAAGATGGTAATTAAATGGAATTATGTATTTCAAATAAATAGACAGTATCAATCTATAGTTGTAGGGCTATTGAAAAAGGAAAGCCAGCCTTGCTCATCACTTCATTTTTGCTGTTTTCTTTGAATAGAAAGAACATCAAAGGAACTTGGTTAGTTAGTTGGTTTCATTTCTATTTTCCTGTAGTCAAATAAAAGTCCCAAAGGGGTCTTGATTTATGATTCCTTTAGGATCATGGCTCAGTCATGTGCAAAGGTGCTGGCAAAAAAGACAGAAACACACAACTATATCCAAGGGTTTGTGACTACTTTATACTATTTACAAAGGAGTTTTTAAAACTATCAGCCAGAAAGGACATTTAGCAATAGCAATAGCAGTTAGACTTATATACCGCTTCATAGGGCTTTCAGCCCTCTCTAAGCGGTTTACAGAGTCAGCATATTGCCCCCAACAACAATCCGGGTCCTCATTTTACCCACCTCGGAAGGATGGAAGGCTGAGTCAACCCTGAGCCAGTGAGATTTGAACTGCAGAACTGCAGTCAGCTGAAGTGACCTGCAGTGCTGCATTTAACCACTGTGCCACCTCAGCTCTTTCCATGTAGCATAGTTCTCACTAGAGAACCTCTCAGACAGGTACACACATAACTTTTCAAATGACTCTTCTGCTGCCCCCTGGATCTGGACAGGATGAGGAATATGTAGGAAAAGGGAAAGATTACTCACCAGTAAGGATAAACTATTCCCTAACATGAGATAGGGGAAGCAGCAAATTTTAATAGAAGTTTATGCCCATGGATTCTGAGATGGCCTAGTACCAAGACAGTGAAGGAGAGGCCTTTCCTCAATCTGGCAGGAGAGTTTTGTGGAAAGATTGGTAAAGGGCAAAAAGCAGTCTCCCCCCAGGTCCTCTTATCACTCCTACCAGATTTGGCAGGAAGCTGCCAGAATTGAGCAAGGTCCCAGGAAAACTGGAGAAATCATCTGCCAGCTTTTTTTAACCATCCCAAGAAATAACCAACAGATGCTCTAGAAAAAGCATGGAGAAACAGGAGAAATTCTATTTCACCATGTCAACCCCAAAGAATGCTATTTGAGGAGCTACTTTTAAACTTTAATATTTACTATTCTTCTGAAAGAAAAGCATTTTCACTGTTTAAAAACATGAACGTAAGGCTCTTTGAAAAGAGCACTGAATTAATGTTTAAAGTAGCCTAGCTGACAGCAAGGGATGATGGGTGCACCATATACAAGCTGTCTCTGCACCATACACAAGCTGTCTCCCACCCGTCTATTAAATGTTTCTCAGGTTTCTTTTCAAACAAAGGTCTAGTGCTTTAAATTTTGGCTCCCTGTTTTAAAAATAGGATAAAGAAAACAGCTAAGAGATAAATTGAGGGATTTTATTATAACCCCCTGGAGAAACATATTTCTCAGCATTTCTTTAGAAACATGCATTCTTTAGAAATCTCCCAACAACCTACTGCTTCCCTGTCACCTAAATATTAATAATGCATATTAGGATTTGCATGTAATACTAACAAATATGAAACAGATTCCCCTGATTCCCTTTCCTCCTGGTTTCACAAGCTAGCAGCTGCTCTGAGGTCTCTGAGCCAGAGAGCAGTTGAAATACCTGGCCAGTATGGGAGAGAGTACAGTGTGAAAGGATCTGATTTTACCCCTGCCAGGAAAGCAGTGCCCAGGGACTGCAGGGCATGCCAATTTCTGACAATTGTTAAACACTTTATTAATGAAGTGTCCTAGCAAAAAAAATAGTCAAGGGAAGAAGGAGCACAGCTCCCTTGTTATCCGTTCTCCACCAGTTGCATGCCTTTTTTACAGTAAGACCACATTTTCATTATCTAGATGCAATGGTTTCTTGATACTCATCTGTTTTGTAACTCATTGAATTTCATACTCAACACATTTTGAAACTTTGTCTCAGTACTTAATTGGGTTCTCAATGCACAAGCTTGGGCTTGTCTATGTCAGCTGCCTTGTGATTCATTACAAGTACCAAATTTTGTTTGGTACTCATCATTTTTGGTACTTATTGCACCTCCCAGAATCAATTAATGATGAGTGCCAAAGTACCATTCTATCACTTTTAGCAGATTTTGTGTATCCCAGTCAAGAAGCAGGTGTGAAAGATACCCATGAAGCCTGAATCTCTTTTTTCCAATGCTAAAAGATATAGAATATATTTAACTGATAATAAGGTCTTGGAGCAAAACCAATAGAGACAACATTCCTGTCAAATGTGAAATCCATTATTCCTGCATCTGCTGCAATTCTAGGAAATTGGTAGAGGCTATACATATGTAAATATATGAACCAAAATAATGCAAATGGAGAATGGCAGATATATAGACACAGACATACCCATGATCTTAAACACGCATACATGCATGCACATACACAACACATAAACACAACAAAGGATCACTCTCTGCAACAAAAAATGTTTTTTTCTACTTCAAGAATGAGAGATTGCACTGCCCTCCATTGGGTAAGAATATCCTGAATAATATTAATACAGTAACAGTCTCCACTGTATTATCCAGGATTTTATTTTAAATTTTAAAAGCCACATTATAAAGGTTTAGGTTAGAGAAAAGAGGGAAGGGATGATTCAGCAATATTACTCTGCAATAAGGAATGCAGATTGGATATGGAGTTCAGGGCTACAGGAATGCAACCTCATTTATTAAATAGTCCATTCAGGTGTCTTTTAGGATTGAATATATACTGTTATGGTTGAGTGATGGGTCAGTGTAGGCTGACAATTGATATATCATCTCCCCTAGTACTTGTTAATTCCCTTCTTACAATAGCTAAAGTGATACCAGGATTGATAGAGATCATCCCAGTGTTCTTGTTCTAGGAAATTACCCACCTATTTTTTTACTAAGGCTGTTTATTTGAAATAGACTTATATTCAACATTCTGATTAGTGTATAGTCTGTTTAGTTGACCCTCTTTCTTGCCCCAAGAGTCCAATCAGCTTAATTGGTAAAACCATAGCTGGAATTTATGGGTTAGGATTATGGGGGAAAATTTCTTTGCCATTATTCTATCTGTATCAAAGAGACAGTATGGCATTTCTATACCACGGAGGACCTACTTTCCTACCATTCTATTGGGCGGAGGTCAAAGCAATCCATTGTTCTGCTGTGGACAATTAACTTCATTTGTGGGTCAAGTTGTTAAGAATCACTGATGATATGTTGGGAACACTGATGTTAATACCAAACAATGTCTTATGTGAATGTAAAAGCATCAGCTAAATGGTCCGGTTGTATTACATTCTGAATTATAGGACTTTGACTTGCCTCTGCTCCATTGAGAAGGTAACGAAATTCAGGGCAGATGAAAGCACTCCCAGCATAGGCTGCATCTATATGCATCCAAATATTCTCCTCATTACCTAGAGAAAAAATATCTTAGATGCAATATATTTTTACCTAATTAAATTATTTCCAAGGTGGGGAGAATGATCAGTTGGCAGTTGCCCCACATAAAACAGGAGAGACACAAAACTAGCCATGTCTTAATGCAGTTGGCATGCTGGATGATGACAGTCAGAAAGGGAGGGTTTAATCCATGGTCTTGCTAAATATACTTTTCACTTCCAAAATTAGGACACCACCACCCAGTGACAAGCCTGATTGAAGGCTATAGGAACATGATCAGGATGAACACTGGGAAAAATACATTTTCTGCCAGTACAAACATCAGTTTGTGCAATGAAAGGTACAAAGTACAATAGCTTGACAGTAGGGAGAAGGTCTACCACTCCTAAAGTGAGCCTTTGTAATCCCTGAGGCAATTAGATATAATTTATTTAATTTATTTCCCATAAATTTCAAGAAAGTTAATTATAATCAACTTAATCTGAATTCTATCCATGAATTATAGAAGCAACTGTCTAAGAAAAACAGTATAAATCAATCAATAAAGTTTTGTCAATTGTCCTGAAATATATCCTATAAAAGGTAAAGGTAAAGTTTCCCCTCACACATATGTGGTAGTCATTCCCGACTCTAGGGGGTGGTGCTCATCTCCGTTTCAAAGCTGAAGAGCCAGCACTGTCCAAAGACATCTCTGTGGCCATGTAGTTGGCCTGACTAAACACTGAAGACACATGGAACGCTGTTTCCTTCCCACCAAAGTGGGAACCCTATTTTTTAACTTGCATTTTTACATGCTTTTGAACTACTAGGTTGGTAGAAGCTGGGACAAGTAACAGGAGCTCACTCCGTTACGCGGCGCTAGGGATTAGAACCTCCAAACTGCCAACCTTTCTGATCAACAAACTCAGCATCTCAGCCACTGAGCCACTGCATCCCTTGAAGTATACCCAATACTGTACTACTAATTCTTAACAACTATTGACTTTAAGTCTTTAATGTCTCTTTTGGGGAATGGTACCAAACAATAACAGTCATATAATATCTGAAGTTTTACACACAAAAAAGGATTATCTGGACCATTCTCCACTGGCTATGGAAGTTTCTCGGCCGTTGATTTCCTGATGGAATACATTTTCAGGGAATATAATTCTATTGAAAACATTTCTGCTCTTCTGATTGCTCACCGTTTGCTTTTTCTGCAGCCTTCCCATCCCTCAATTATTATATATATTTCATGGGTAGCCTCAGCAACAAGCTTCTTATTTTAAGATAGAAAATAAATTATTTCTATAATGTTCCAAGGCTGCCTAGCAAGAATGTAGTAATCTACAGAACCTGTAATTTACCACTTAGAGGAAAGATAATATCAAAAAATATTATGGAAGTCATGCATGCTATAGGTTCATTGTGTTCAATACTTTCTACATCATGGGTAATATTTAGTTAATGACCAATATGAAAGGCATTAAATCACACCTCATCTTCTGATGCTGCTGTTCTAGATTGGGATCCTCGTTCTTCAATGGTTTTTTAATGCTTTTGTTAATTTCTTATGTATCTTCTACCATAAGAGACTGTATATTATCCCCTTTTCCTTGATCACTGGTCATTTTTATAAAATATCATTATGCAGGTAGATATAGGGGCATTCAGACAATACCTGGAGAGAATCATACTGATCTCCAAATAATCAATAAAGAATAATATTTTTAGCTCTAGTGTTGAAATGGTGTTCTCTGAGTTTGGTTGTTTTCTTGCAGATGTTTCATTATTCAAACTAGGAAACATCAGTGCTAGTAAAGAGTGGTGTTTGTTCTCAGTTTATATTCTAGTCTAGTAACTTGCCCTGCCAGTGACCTTTCTGATCACAATCTTCCTGGATCAAGCATTGCTTAGATAAAGAGGATTTTATTAGTTTCAATTAATAAATCAGCTGCACCCTTATCTAGAAAAAAGATAAGGAAAGAAATCTGACAATGGTGACTTCATTACAAGACATCCCTTGAAGATGAATTATAGCTAACCAAGAATGTGACACCTTGGAGGTCTACATCACACTTGTGTTGAAACAGCTCTTCTACATGTCCCTTGTTTTCCAAGCTCAATCCAAAATTCTCAATTTGGGGTATAAGGCTGCATAGAGTTAGACTCAGGATACCTTCAGTGAGGCCTACTCCTGCACAGTTTGCTACAGATTTGCTATAATCTTTGGCAGGCTTCATCATGGATACATCAATGACATATTTTTTTTCTTGGACCTTTCATCATGGGACAAACTGCTGTTAGAGTTGATACTATTGTCCTCCAGTTTAGGAGGGAGTGGAGTACTGATCTGTTTTGTCCATACTTCTAGAGTTCTAAGGATTTTACACTTCTTATTTTCATATATTCTTTTTAATGTTTACATATAAGCGCTAAAATATTGTAGTGATTTGAGATTGGGTGGCATATAAATGAGTAAAATACATTTTTTCCAGCTAAAAAATTCAACCAGATTTAGAAATGATGCCAAAAATGTATTTGTCTGATAAAATTGTGCAAGAATACAAAGTTTTTCTGCTGAGCTGGTCTCTTACTCAAACTCTACTAAGCCTCCACAGAGCTTAATACAATACGACAAGACATACCAAAAGCAGATTTTCAGTGTTCAGATAAAATGATCACTTGTTAACTTACAAATGGGACCCAGTTCTAGCAGATTGTCAAAGGAGCAGCATGTTGTAGTTCCAAGAGTTGCACACAACTGCAAATCCAAAAAACAACAAAAATAGACATTTTAAAAATAGCATTTAATGTGATGATAATACACAATCGATAAACATAACATTCAGTATATTCATGATTGGAACAAAACCAGTAATCTAATTTCATGCAGCCATTTTAGGGTGTTCTATGATTATGCAGGCATATTTTATCAAAGACAACAAAACATTTTCAGTTAACAAAAGCTTATCTGTAGGTACCTCCTGCTCACCTAAAAGTTCAAAAGCATGCAAATGCTTGTAGTTAAATAGATACCATTTTGGTGGGAAGTTTATAGTATTCTTGGCCTGTAGTCATGCTGGCCACATAACCACAGAAACGTCTTCAGATAAAGCTGGCTTTAAAAAGGGAGATGAGCGCAGTTCTCTAGAGTCAGATGTGACTGCACAGGGAGACCTTTATTTTTAGTTGACTAGTACATGATAAATTTTATTGCAGATAATAATTTTAACTTTTTACTTTTATTTCTTGATATCAACTTGTATTTTTGGTTTTGTATAATATTTTTCTGACATTTGTTTCCTGGTGAAGGAGTTCTGCATACGTTTGAGGTCCTTCAGGAAGCTTCTTTGTAAATAATAACATACCAGAATAACAGAATTAGAATGTCTTCTAGTCTAATCCCCTGTTCTAAATTATGACCTATTTTCCAAGAGTATTCAATAGGTCTTTTAGTGAAAACTAAATTTTTCAATTTGTCAAATGTTGCTGTGATTGGTCTCTTCAGTCCAATGGGCATTAGGGAGATAACAGCAGCAGCGTTGGCATATAAGAGTATCAGGATTTTATATTGTGCCAAGTTAGGAGAGTATAGGTCAGTGCAAAAGATTGATCAAGAGATTGATGTAAAAGTTAAAAAGGAAGGGGGATAGAATACAACTCTGCCATACTTCTTTTTATACCCTTACTGGGCCAGATAAAGTCCCTCGAGGGTTACATCTCACATTCAAGGTGGAATTGGCATACAATTTTTGTATGAGATAGAGGACGCGTTTATCAATAGTAGTGAGTTTTAATTTCTCCCAGAGGGTATTTCTGGATATTGAGCTGAAGGCCTGCTTAAAATCAAGGAAGGCTACAAAAAGAGAGGATTTTTTAAAATGTGATTTCTGGACCAGATGGTATAATACTAAGATAAGATCCACTGTTGACTTTCCTTCTCTAAATCCAGCTTGTTCATCTTTGATTATCCCCCCTGAAATTATCTAATCCTGAAATTTATAATTTAGGTATTTGGCATACAATTTACTAACAATACTCAGAAGACTAATGGGCCTATAATTGCCTGGGTCATTTCTGTTACCCTTTTTGTAGATTGGTATAATGATTGCTAATCCCCAATCTTTTGGCATATGGCCCGTTTTATCTATATATGTAAAAAGAGTTGCTAATAGAGGTGTCCACCAACTGGCATTCTTTTAAATTATTTCTTGCAAAATATTGTCAGCGCCTGGTGCCTTATTAGCCTTGAGGGATCAGCCAATAAGCCAGGATGCCTCTTCTGGTGTGACAGGAGGCCAATAAGGGGTTTGGTCCAAACTTATTTGGCTCTCATTGGTTACAGAGTCAGGGTCTGTATATACTGTAGCTCTCTAAAATATTCTTCCCAGACATGAATTAGTACCTGATTAGATGGAGGTAAAGGGGATTTTCCCAATCCTCTAGTGATATACCAAAAAGGGATGTATTTTTTGTCTTGACTGATGCAGTTAATCTATGCCAAGACTCCTTCAGAGCCACACTGGGGCAAAGTTATCAAAAGCAGTTAGCTTTGGAATAATCCTGGAACTTAAAATTTCCTGATAAATATTGTCACCAGCCAAAAGCACAGTGCACAGAATAACTTTGCAGAACGTTCAACAGCTTCATTAATTTTGGATTCTGGAAATGTTGAAAATAATTTTACTGTTTCTGTAAAGGACTCAGGTTCAAATGTATCTTCTTAGGTTGTCTCAGGCATTTACTGTGCCTGTCTATGGGGATGTTGAGAACTACAAAAGAAAGAACCATGACACTGCCTTGCGTCCCTTCAAAGAAAAACTATACTATACACCGAGAGAGAAAGAGGAATAGAACCATTGTGAAAAACAATTTCAAATCTTTTCAAATATAATGATATATATAGAAAACTTGCACAGTTATGTTACCAATAAAATAAGTCATGAACATCTAAATATGATACTCAAGTCATGATCTTTCCAAAAATTACTTTGTACATACTTAAAACACAAACTACACAAACCTAGATTTTTTTTACCCTAATGCAATTTTATATCTCAGTTATGGTTATAAGGTGATCCATATTGTCATAACAAAAACTATACCATCATTAAAATAAAGCTACAGAGTAAATCCAATTAAAGAAAAAGGGTTCACTTATCACTATTTATTCTCATGACATTCATTTATTCAATGTAAGTATAAAAGCTATAAATAGCAGTTTATCAACTGACTTCATTGGCCCATAGTTATTGCTTTTCTCCTCCTTAGTAACTTTACAAATAAGAAGCTTCATAATTAAGACTTTACATATTTTGCCATTGTTGCATGGCAACGTAATGACTAAGCATATTAGTTGTTACCAGGATATGTATCTCTGGGTGATAAAAGCCATAGCAAATACTCATTGTATTGCCGATGGTTAAATTAAAGATATAGCATCTCAGTCTCTGTGTCCTAGTATCATTTACATGCAGAGATTCATAAATCCCAGTAATTCATTCTGGCTTTTTGCTATTATAAAAGAAGATGGTGGCCTGTGATATAACTCTGCTGCATCATTGTTATGAATGCCTTTTCTAAGCAATTTGAAATCTCCTTATTTCAATTCTCAAAAGATACTCAAGCTAACAGCAGCTGGTGTGTTTATGAGGGAGATCTAATACTGCATTTAACCCAATTTGAAATCCCCATTACAACAGTGTAATCACATTTGGAACAGGGACATATTGTCTCCCTTGAAAATTGTTCAGACAGCTTACAGGCCACTCCAGATTTTCCATCTTTAAACACAGAACTGTTGCTCTTATTTTGGGAACTAAGCAGTCAGTTGTATAACACAATGACCACAATCAACCAGGTGTTTAGCATTTAGAATCCTAAGAATAGGATCAGATGTATTCAGAATTGTAAAGAAAAAAATGCTGTAGTATAACAACTTTAAAAACCACAAAAAAACCATGTTAAATTGCTGTAAAACATAAAATAATGTAAAAGAGTAAAGCTTGAGATGAGCCTTATCATACACATATTTTTATATCCATTATGTGAACAGGCAATTTCAGGAAAACAAGTCACAGATCATAAAAAGTTAATGCCTCAATTGATTATTTATATTTAAAATGCCAGGAAACACATGCACCAAGGTAGGGGTTTGTAATCATCTTCAGTAGCCACCCTTGAACCTTTTTATGACTTTCAAAACCTAGTAATGGAGCTAATAAGGTTACTTCAGTGTTTTTTAAAATAATTTTGATCCATTAAAAAATTAAGAAACATTAGCAATCCCAATGTAGCCTGCTTGCCTTCCATGCCCAAGGGTATTTGCAGACAATGTTAAAAAAAAGTCAATATGGTAGCCAGTGGAATCAAGGCTCCAACCATTTTTGTGTTCGATGATCAAATGGCAGCCATCTTGGCTTTCTGACCATACTTTAAGGTACCTCTGTCTATAAGCCTTGCAATTGTATCACTTTCCTAGAGCAGCCTTTGACTAGTAAAAACATTAGCCTTTCTATCTGAAGTTCTATTATAATTGTACATTATATACATTAACAAGATGGCACTGTGGTCAACAAGGCATGTTGTAACATTCTAGCTTTAATTTATTTGATGTCTAATAATGAAGATTTCACAATACTACAAGGTTACCTATTTCTAAACAACTGGTTAGAAGACTGCCAGGGTATTTTTCTTCCTTCTTAAGAAGAAATGCTTAAGCCAGATGGAAAAAGTCAAGTCTTCAGTGCTCTTCTGAAACTCAAGAGGGAAGACATCAAAAGGAAAATCTCCATATAGATTAAGTTCTAAAGCAAGCATTGGGAAAATGACAATTTCCTAGCTCCTCATCAATTAATTGTCATCCTCAATTAGACAGGATTTAGAGGGAGTTGAGCTTCTTTAATCTAACCAGATAAATATATCAACATAGGAGAAAGTAGTCTCAGAAATAACTAGATCTTTAAGGCCTTAAAAATGGCAACAAGCAGCTTGAATTGTATCTGGAAGTAACCATTATAGCTTCCAAAGCAGTGTGTTCCCCCAAATATGGCAGGAAACACTCATCACCCATCACATTTTGTATCAGCTGTAATTAAAAGATCAGCTTAACTAATAAGAAAATAATATTAGACTGCCAGTTTTTGAACTAGCTACCTTCTTTTTCCTTTGGGAATAAATTATCTGCGGCAATTATTTTAAATAGCTTCAGACTTAAATGGATGAGAAATCCAAAAAATATAGAAGTTTTGGCTAGACTGGGTAGTTGAAAACATCCTAGAAGAAGGCAGTAGTAAACTAACTTCATATTGCCAAAAATATCCATGTCCATGAAATTACCAAAAAGTGTTTACTATAGATGTTATGACTGAATATAGCTACTATGATTTAAAACATAGACCATCAGATTACTTAACCACCAGTAATCTTATTTGTACAATAACAAAAATTGGGATATTAGTACTCACAAAGAATGGGATAAGACCGGCAGCTTTATCTGCATCTATAACTTTTCTTAGAGTTGACCCACGGACAGAAAATGAGTTATCTGTGGGAACTTGTTTAATTTTCACTCCAGCAATCAAGACATCCTTTTCAACTGATGAATGAGCCTGCATGAAGTGGGATAAAGTTTATTCTAAAATTTAAATTGTGTATCAATTAGATGCTCAAAAATATTTTACAATTGCTAGTCGATATAATCAAATGTAAATGAAAAATAATAAACAGCAACAAATATTATGCACAATCCTACACTTTTGTTATTTGGTAATTATAACATTACTTAAGCACCAAATGTACCAATTGTACCATTTTTTTTTTACTATTATACCAGTCAATAAATGTAAACAATACAAAGTACAGTACAATTAATGAGCTAGTAAATCATACTCTATGTTTCAAATATCTGTATGTATAATAATGTTTCTATGTGTGAAAAAAGTGTTCCTCTTAAGTATTGAGTATAATTTCTTTGAATAATGTCATTTGTTACCTTTTCAAGAAACTCACCTGATGTTCTACAGCTATAAAATACTAAATCTATGCCCCTTTCTAGGTACATGGCTTTTTAAAACAGAAATATACTACTTCAGGCTGCTAGCCATAAAATATAAACATAATTTATGTGAAGATATGTCACTTAATGAGAAAGAAATAAAACGTTAAGAAATTCAGGGTAAGATTTAAAATATAATTTTAAAATTAAATTCATCATGGCATTATTGTAAAATAGGAATCAGAAAATAGAATCCAATGGATAAATCTGAATACTAAAATCATCTTGTAATAGCATGACTCTTGATCCAAAAAAATGCATGCTTATTCCAAATATGGAAATAAAGCACTATATAAAAAAACATTGAAGTAAAGGTAATATAATGTCCACAATTAGTTCAAAAACAAGTTGTGTGAACTTAGATATTTATATTTCTTTAGGGTCCTACCAAAAATGAATAATAATAATAATAATAATAATAATAATAATAATAATAATAATAATAATGAAAGTCAAGAACATCTATTAATCGAAGTAAAGAACAAAAATTACTGAAGGCCCAACAGACGAAACAAGAATACAGAAAAGATGTGATAAAATCAAGAATGGAGAGTTGGCAGAACAAAGCACTGCATGG